TGCACACTGTGTCTCGTGTGGCACCGCCCCGGTCTGTCTAACTATGCCTGGTTTGTGCTTGAGCGCCACTGAGATCAACATTTGGTTAGGAATCTCTCTCACATAACTTGTCTTCCATCTCAGACAACTCCCATTTAAACATCACCCGGATGATAATTACGCCAAGTGGGACATAAGGTTGACGGAAAATTGGGGACCGTGCCTATCTGATGAGCAACCTTGAGAGTAGTATATTGCCTCGGCACATGTATCGCGATATCTCGAATAGCGTGGCAACTGAAACATGGGGCGGCCTGGTGCAGCACATTTAGTTGCTTGGAAACATCATAAACGATAGATTCAGCCGGGTTCCAGTTGAGTCTCTCGCAAAACCGAATTGTCCAACCTATATTTTAAACACCCCCTATGCTTGATTATCACCCAACTAGCGGTTGCGACGACCTTCTTAGTGGAACCAGACAGAGTTGCTTCATACAAAAATAGTTTATCTGCAGCACGCTTTTGGTGCCTAACTGCCACGCCACCAGAAGGAAGCACGAGAGCTGGGATACTACCAGTCCTGCCCAAGCCTAATCAAGGGAAGTCGAGAGGTAGAGGTCATGTTCGAACAACGGAACTTCCAGTCAGTAGATTCGTAATCTAACCACTGCGCCATCATGCCACAAGCAGTTACTTTAAGTCTAACGACATCCTTCGGTCAGTATTAGTTGCCATACCGTGGCCAGCACTATTAGCAATTGCTTCTACCGTTCTTCAACTAAATTGTCACAAGACTCACAAGCCCACAAAGACCAACGAAATCTACCAGTGACAACCCTGGTAAATCACATACTGAACTAGCCCGAAGTGGAATATTAAGGAACAAAACCCGATCAGAACTAATCTGAAACTCCCCCAAACCATCAATGCAAGATTTTGGCAACCACACCAATCGACAGAAGTAGTTAATTAGAACTCAGCACTGATCTAGGGCGCTAATATGAAGAAGTCTTACTGATAAGTTCTGTCTGCTTTAAGACTCGTTCAATCTTGTGTCAAAAGCGAAATGCTGTCCGAATGGAAAACCGCCGTCTGAAACAATGACTTAGAAATCGGTTCCGAACTTTTCCCAAGTGATTATCTGGTACTTTTGACGTTCTGTCAAACAAATTGGGACTGTTTCATCACATGAACGACGTGAGTCAGTGTGCTTTAGGGGACTTTAATTTTATCTACCGCTAGTAAGGATGAAGCGCTGACAGACCAAAGGAGCTTCACGCTCGCCTGACTTAGGCCTCCACTTCGAACAACCTGAGTTTCCATGCTCGGAAGACGATTAGGCCAACGATCTTCCGCTTGAGCTGCCCCCCACCAGACTGGAGGCCAAACACATTCTGTCACCGAGATGATTGAGGGACACCGCGTTTCTTAGTCAACTAGTGACTGGAAGGCGTGATCACAGTCATTTTTAAAAGCTGCGGGAATGGAAGGAATGAAGTTCGGTGGTGTAGAGGGAGTAGGAAGTTCCTCAACATGGTCGTTTGACCTCTCCGAACGGAAAGAGATACACGCAATTCACAACTCGCGTGAAAATTTGGTGTCTCAGAAAACCACTGATACCACGCAAAACTTCGGGCCATCTTATAAAAAACACTTGAATCACGGGCTAGTGTTACGTGTCAGTCCCTGAGTAAGAACAGAGAATGGGTTAACACAATAGTTCCAGATATTCAGTGAAAATATCACGAGTTTTGTCTTTAGACTCGCAGGACCTTCGAAGTGTTCTGGTTACGTGCTGTAATGGTGCTTGAGAAACGCTGTTAAGGCCTCTTTATTCATTAACTCATTAAATGTCATTAAAATTAACCGTACACGCCCGATGATTCGGGTCACATATGCCGTGTCCTCAACTGAAAATGTCACTCATCGGAAAGCTATGCTCCCCAAACTTAGTCCTTATCTTTGGGTTGAGCATCTATATGGGTATATGTGAATGTCCAGTTGTTAGGAGACCAAGCTTCGGAATGCCAATGGAATAAACATATTCGTCGAGACAGATTTAATTGATTGTTCTTCATTTGCCCTTGACAGATGAGTTCCAATTTCAGTAGCATTTTCCGGAACTTTCCACGTGAGCTTCACAAACAGCCCGTTTTCGGCTGTACATGACACGTCTGTACGCACCAGTGTTCAATAGATCGATCAGCTGATTCGCACGTTCATTGTCTTTCTGGATTGGCTAAGCGCACCAGGCTATCAAGCGACTATCCGGACTCGGGTTCACGGTATTCAGAAGGCATCAAGAACACTGTAGTGTACAACACCAACCAAGCCAGCGAATCAGTGCGATGAGGTTCATATGGTCCGATTGTTGATTATTTCCAGAAATCGACTGAGTCACGCTGAGTTACGCCCAGTGTAACGTTGTACGAAATACGAATAGAAGAAAAGAATCAACGCTACCCTGAAATACCAGCATGGTTTCACCTCGGTGGAAATGCTTTTATTCAGTCTCTCCCAAAGAGGCTTGTCGGAAAACCTGCGCAGAAGTGTGAAGTGGAACTTGATGTGATGGTAGGTAACCAGGTGAATAGCTACGAAGATAAGGAACTAAACTTCGTTTCCCATGTCTTAGTGCCCAGGATACTCACCAGGTTCTTCAAGGTGCCTTCTTGACCAACTAGAACGTATACCAAACAAACAGTAATACTTTAAGAGCTGGTGAACTATGCTCCCTAATCACATAGTGTGCCATTCGGATGGTTCAGATAACTAACTTTACTGTTAACATGATAAGGTGAGAAAAAATAGTGCCGGAAGGAAACTGCTCACAAGGCTGTAGAATATCATAAACGAGAGATTCAATTGAGTCTCCGGTGAAACCCAAATTGGTTTGCAAGTGAGTATATTCGTTCAATTTGGGTTCAAGTAGAACGTAAGGTTGACGGAAACTCGGGGAATGCGCCTACCTGGTGAGCCTCAAGAAGGGCGAAACCGGTCGTGTGCTGTCGAAGAGTTTTCAGCAACCTTGTGAGTAGTTTCCTTTATGAAAATAGTGCTGGAAGGCTTTTCATGTTTTTTGTGATGGGTAAACATCACGAAGCTAAATAAGATGAATTATATCTTTATCTCTGCCCTGGGATCACATCATTCTGTATATATCCGAAAACAAAATTGGAAAGTATGACACTTCAACGTGACCAAGTCTCACTTCGTACTGTCAAATTAACCCGATCGTTGTTTTCCGCTCTGATGTTTGACCGTCTCACTGTTTTGCGCACGTAGAGGTAAGATGGCTTAGCGGTTAGAGCACGAATTCACTGACCGGACGTTCTGTGAACCGACTCTCTGCCTCTCGAGTTTCCCTCTTCGAAGAGTTTTCAGCAGCCTCGCAAATAGTTTCGGTTATGAAAATATACTACAATATCTCGAATATCATGCCAACTGAATCATGAGGCGGCCTGTGTGCAGCACATTCAGTTGTAGAATATCATAAACGAGGGATTCAGTTGAGTCTCTCGTAAAAAACAAACTGATTTCTGGAAAACCTGACAGTATCTTAGTTTTCGTGACTCCTTCGGGTAGTATGAAAGCTAGGCACCGAAAGAGTACTATAGCTGAACGATTTTAAAGACTTTTGGACATGAACGAATGGAGCGTTATACAAATTTCAGCGTCCGCCTGAAGCAGTCTGTCTCACGACATAAGTGGACCAAATGGAGGAGATGTAATGTTGGGAAAATGTACACACTACTCTGGTAATAACAATGGACGGTAAAGGATAGTAACGAATAATAAAACCGGTTGCACACCACCTGAATGCATTGATTTTAACAGCTTTCCTTAACAGCCTTCGGAAATTTCCAGCAAACAGTAGGAC